AGCCCCCAGTCTTGCCACAGCCTGTATCCTCAGCTGCCTCTCTCTTCACAGGGGAGAGTGGGAGGCAGACTTGGAGTATCCTTCTGTTTCTCACGCAGGGGGCCTAGGCTGGAGCCTTCTGCCTCTGTTTTTTCAGACCTGGAGGAGGAGGAGAGAGAGAAGAGGGAACAAATGAAAGAAAGGATAAGGGGAATAATTGAAGATATTGACAGGGAAATTGGGGTAGCAGATGAGAGGAAACACAGCGCAAGTGAAAAAAAGGATAAGTCTGGCGCTGACAGTGTCTTACCAAGCGACGTGCACCCGTTCCCAAGAGAGGCCGTAAAGGAGGAGGAACAGATTGAAAAAAGAGACTTAGTAAAAGAACACTTTCCTATTTCCACATCAGCACCTGATAATCAGAGGCATGATTCGCTGTTCTCAGCGTCTCAGGTGACCGTATGGGGCATAGGATCAGCAGTAGCACACACGGATACCAAACACACAGAAAGCAAGTCAGAGGAAAAGCAAGGAACGGAGAGCGAGCGGGAGGCGAGTCAGGATGTGTGTGTGCTCGGGAAGGATGGCTCTACCCATCTGAGATGGCCTGTCAGTTTGCTTAAGTTCACCAAGTCTCAACCACACATCTCCTACAGCTGCAACCCGCTCTGCTTGAACCTTCAACAGCCAGAAAAAGTCGCAGAGGATCTGAAGGACTCACAACAAAATCAGTTGTGTTCCCTTTCAGATGAATCAAAACTACGCGTACCAGCTATTCTTAAACCAGACACTCAATCGTGTTTACAAAGACAGATAAGACAAGAGTTGAGAGCACACAGGGAGAAAAAAGCTGCAGAAAATTTCAAAGCAGAGCAACATATCGATGTGGAGACAGAAGCACACCTGTTCCTAAAGAACAAAAACCTTTTATCATCAGAAAGAAGACCAGAAAAAGAACGATGCATGCTAAGTATGGAGAACTGCATGCGGGCAGCTCCCCATCCATTTGACCCCACTCATAGTGACAGCTCTGACACAAACTTCCAGAATCCTCTGGGAGGCAGATTAGAGGGTGCGAGAGGGATCAGAGAGAAAGCCATCACAGCCCTGAGCTGTAAATTAGAGTCTGTCACCCAGCCTGGCACACAGGAGATGTGCATCAGTCCATCCAGGTGTGAGTGTGGGAGTGAGACAATGTGCAAGTGTGCCAGTGCTCCACAGCCGTATGTGGGTGTCTCTGAAGTATCACGCAAAAAGAGGAAAGCCAGCACAAAGAAACACAAGCTGGGAAAGAGAAAGATGGCTGAGAAGGAAAAAACTTCAGACAAGCGCCAATCAGCAAGGTGCAAAGTGAGGAGTGTTATCTCTACAGTCTCCACTGGAAGAGAGAGGAAAGGAGAAACTGGAGGGAGATGGGGAAAGAAAAGGAGGCAAAGAGAGACGAGGATGAGGAAGGTGGGGGGAGCAGGGAGCAGCTGTCTCCTGGGGAGATGTGAGGCTGAGCCAGTATCTGTCTCTGTCAGGAAGAGGAGGCCTCATAGGAGCCACAGCACTGAATGCCAGTCACAGCCAGACAGAGAGCAGGCAGAACACTCCAGCGTCTACTCCCATCTCAGCAGACACACAGCAGACCGAGACACAGAGAAGGGGGGAAAGCGAGACGGAGACGCGGCGACTTTTCCCTGGCGGTCTCACTTCTCCTTACACTCCTTCTCACCAGGATGTAACTCAAAGCTGTTTTGGGAAAGGGGTCACCATAGCAACCCCAGGAGTTTCATTGACTGCTGTTACCCTGACAACAGCTGCTGTAACAGCTCGATGAAAAAGCGAAAACTCCTCCACGGGGACAGGAAATTCATTCATAGTAAGAGGAAGAGTTTGAGGCATCGTGAATTCTGGGAGGAGAGAGGGAGGGAAGCACAAGGGCATTCAGGTGGCCGAGACAGAGGCCTGACTTTAGGTACAGAAGAGTGGGAGTGGATGAGAGGGGCCTGTCCTGGAGGTAGTGAGGAGGTGAGGGCAAGGACTGGGTGGAACTCGAGGAGCAGAGCAGTGGAGTGGGATAAGGCTGCAAGGTTTAGCCCCAGTCCTAAGCGCTGGGGCAAAAGACGCAGACATCTTAGCACTGAAGATGTCGACTGGGATAGATGGACATGGGGCAGCAGTGACAGCTGGGAAGACAGGGGGACACACAGGTCCACATCAGGCTCCAGGACAGGAGCTGACAGCAGAGACAGCCCGGGCGGTGCAAGGATATGTGCAGGCACCAGACGCTCAAGTTCAACACACTTCTCGAGCCCTGAGTGGTGGACAAGCAGACAGACGTACAGCTGCCAGAGTGTGATCAACACACAGGACAGCAGATGCCACAGCCCACGCTCTTGCAGCCCTTGTAGCAGCACCAACATGTCTGAGCTGAGCTGGGAGTGGAGCAGGAGTAGCACCTGCTCAGGAGTCACTATGGATGGGTTGACAGTTAGCTCCTGCAAGACGTCCTCGGGGGCTGCAGAGGCCAGTCAGCAGGCAAAAAAGCAGAGCAGCCTCACGTCCATTTCATCTGCCCTCTCCTCGAGCCCGTTCACACATTCATCTCCCAACAGATCCACTTTTTCACCGACAGTTCCAAGTGTCAACACACATAATTGTGACCGAAGTCTTTCACACCTAAAGGATTCACAGTCTAGCCAAGGGCCCTCTGCCTCTGTCAACATGAGGGGCCCAGGCACAACCCTTTCAGCTTTATCCCCCAGTAAGTTACTGCTACAAAAACCATCTAGGTTGCTTCTGCCCCTTATAGGAAAACTACCTGCAATTCAGCGAAAGGCTCAGAAGAAAAAGGGGCTGCTTGAGAAGAGTCAGGAGAAGGAGAGAGAAGAGGAAGAGGAAGCTAAGAGTTGTGGCACAGATCCTGGAGCAACCACTGACAGTCAGAAATGTTCTCCAGTTGGGTCAAATCCCAGCAGCATGCCAAATGCCTGCCCATCACAGATTAGAACTGACGATGAACAGACAGGTGGAGAGACAGCTCCGCCAATCAGCTTTACCGCTGAAGAGATGGACAAATATCGTCTCCTGCAAGAGCAGGCAAGAGAGCACATGCAGAAAGTCCTGGAAAACATACAAGAAAACACAGACAAAAACACGCAGGCAAACTATACACACAACCTGCAGACAGAGAACTGTGGGAATTCAGAGGAGCAATACTCATCTCCGCAGCCTCAAGCCCAGTTAATTCACACAGACACGATGCATAAGCAAGTACACCACACCCTCCAGGTCAGTCTCCCACTTCCACACGTCAACCCACAAGAGAACTTTAGTCAGCCCATAGCTCTCGGTGTCCCAAACCTCACCCCCCTCGCACCATCTTCCCCTCTCTCGAATCTCCATCACATCATTTTACAGCACACAGGCCTATCCATGCCCCCTCACTCTTCCTCGACTTCCAGCTCACCCCCCTCTCCTGCCATCCACCCACAGCCAGTTCCACTTCCTCACCCCCTCCCCCCTCGCCACCATTCCCTCCCTCATCATCTTCACTTCGCCCCTTTCTCCATCTCCTCCCTGTTTCCCTCCATCCTGCTATCACATCCTCCCACCCTTCTCCTTCCCCAGTCTCCCACTTTCCACGCAACCCCAATCTCTCCACTCTCCCCAGTAGCTCTGCAACCCTTGAATCCACAGCCTATCATGGACAGATCGTGGCCAGTGAAGTTTCAACAGAAGGCGTTATGATTTTGAGAGTGGGTGCCGTGTTTATTAATCTTTCTTGGCAGCGCTGGCTTGTGGGAGAGAGAAAGGAGGAATGTTTGGTTTGAAGAAAGGCCTGCTATTTGAAATCGGGACGTGTCAGTGCTTTTAGTAGTATCAACTCCAACTCTTATTGCACATATGCCTTCAGACACAGATACACACCAAGACACACACGCTCGTTCGCATGCATACACACAAACAGCCAAACTATTGACTGTTTTCAAATGAGAATTTGTTTCTCCATTTAGCCTTTGCTGTGTTTAAACAGACAGTGAAAGAACAGACTTTGATCCTTTGCTTTTTCCATCATTCTTCATTCACAAGCAAAATAAAGAGAAAGGTGCACCTGCTATTCAAAGACAAGCTAAGCTTGTGTCATCTTCTCTCTTTCCTTCTGAACCACAGACAGACCAGCTGCCTTTTGAAGTATCCTTCATGCCAGGGACAGAGACAGTGATAATACTCTCCCCTTATCTCCATTTCATACAGGTTATCTGAGTTAGAGAGTGACTTTCAGCTAACATAAATAACGCTCCAGTGGCCGGTGAATATGGCAAAGACATTTTAACCTTGTTGTGGACTGTATGTGCGGCTGTAAGGTAATTCTGATGACACACACTCATTCACAGCAGGAAGAACAACATCTAATTTCCATATCTGACACGTGTAAAGACCTGCTTTCTCTCTATAGTGTAAATATTCTGACAGTATATGATAATATTAGAATGATGAGAAACACCGAAATAAAATGTGAATTTAACCTTGACCAGTAGTACAATGCTTACCCCACACTCCATGGCTTCAGTGATAGACCTTTTACACAACCTTCCATGTGTGACATTAAAAACTGTTTTTTTCCTCCATGAAGCATTTAACAAATCAGTTTGTAAGACAGAAATGAATGAATCTGATAAGTTACAATAAAGCGTGAGTGAAAATAAATGGGCTTTCATGCTTTTTTTTCCTCCCCCGTCTTATTCTTGTTGATGAAGTCCAAATTAAGAATTAATACCGCATGGTTTTTCTGCAGTGGTTACATCTTTCATGCATTGTCAAAGAGTGCACATGGATGATTTTAAAATGGTACAAAATTATTATATTTTTATTCTATCATAATGTTTTTTAGAAATGCAGCAATTTGTTGATTTGGAAAGCAGTTACTGTGTGTCCTGACCATCCCAGAGGCACGAAAGAAAAACTAATTGTGACACCTTTGTGTTAGCTGTAGAAGAAGACTCGAAACATTCTGTACATCTTATTATCCGTTACAATTTTTTAAAGATCTCTTTATTCTTTAACCAAATTTCACCATCTAGCTGTTTCAAAACAACACTTTTTAAAAGTGTATATAGAAGAAAAAACTTATTTAATCACTAAAACAAGAATAAACACACACACACACACAGATGACTTTCTTACATATCTCGCCAAGGGTTATGGATGCTGGTAACTGTTGCTATGTATTCAAGCCTGGTGATTGGTGATGTGTCAAAGCTGCTTGCCAAATAGTTGATCACTGCAGCGGCCGGCACTCGGGGAGCAGAACACAGAAGAGAACAGAGCGGTATCCAGATGGTCTATGGGCTTAGACTACCCAGAGCGCTTTGAGAGATTGGATTGATTTGCCCTCCGTGATATCAGTGAACACAGCCCAACACATGAGGGGGGCTTCAGCAAGGGGTGACATAAATACAGGCTCAAAAGCAATACACAAAATGTACACTTTCTGTCCTGAAGCGTTGGCTACAAATAAGTCATCTCTTGCAGAGATTCGGTAATTAGAGCACGGGTCTGCTTTCTCCTCCCTGTGACCCTTGAGCCCGTGTGTAAAGCGCGCGAATTTGGGAGAAACAGAAACCGAGAATCCCTATCTCTCTCCACAGGACCGGAGATCAAACAGACTGTGTGAAATATAGAGCAGCAATAATTAGCAGCTGTTACAGCATCAAACCTTTCTATCGCTACCTCTCCCTCTCTGACACGCACACACACACACACACACACTATTACCCCATTCTTTCCCAGAGTTTAATTTGGAGACACTCAAATGTGCTGCAACTTCTGCGTCCTCAAATGCTGATAATCACAGAGATCATATAAAAGCAAACTGCTCCAGTTCATAACGCCGACTCTCTAATGGGGAAATCCATGAAAACAGTCACACACAAAAGAACCTAAAAGGTGGAGATTGAACGCTAAACACAGCGTGTCATTTCAAAAGCCTATTTATCCATGAATAGCGAGGCAATAGTGGAATCTTCACATTATTATATCAGTAGATTTTTAGGCTCCCACGCACACACTTATCCAAACTGGGGTCACATGAAAATTAGCAATCGCAATATCACTGTACTTTCTGTCAGTGACTGATTAAACCATTACCTAAGCCCCAAGATTTGCCCCCTGGTGTGTACATGTTTTGCTGCTGTGTGAGCACACACACACACACTCAGGAGTGTGAGTTGATTTATGATGGAGAGGAAGCGGTTTCTTCAGTCAATCGCTTCTGAGAATTAATGAGGAATAAAAACTAAAGCTGGCACTCGGTCAAAATACCCCAGCAGTCACAGAGAGCTCACTGCTGAGGCAGGGTCGCCTCTATTGGCACCGCATTTGATTGTTAGATTGCGGGTAGGCTATAGATTGCACTGAGCAAAAAGAGCCCCTTACGGCTACTGAAATGCTCCATCGACCTAAATTGCAGTGTTGTATAAATGAGACACTTCCCCGTCTCTTGCTCGCTTCCTTTCTTTCCCTTTTTTGCGATCTCGCCTCCTACCCTTCTCTTTGATTCAACCAGGTCAGTGGGGCTGCCTTCAGCTCCCCCGGCTGTTCTCTGACTGTGCAGAAGGAAAGGCACCATTACACTTTGTCATCTCAATTCCCTTCATTCAGACCGTATCTTTTACATGTTTGAATGCTGTTGTACTGCACAGACCTTTGCAGCGCAATGTGCTTTTGTGGTGTTATTATTACAGCGCCCTTTCTATTCCTCTTCCCCCCACAGTGACATTCATTAAAAGTTTTCCTTGTGCCGTAAAAGAGACTGTAATACAGTTTCTCTCCAATTTTCCTCTCTTTTTACAGGATCTCTGTGACTCCTAGGTGTAGGTGTTATACTAACAGCAAGGGTATTATTCTAACTGTTTTACTCAACCACCAAATGACACTGAAGCAAAAAGGAAAACAATGTAAAAAGGAAGAAGAAGAGGGTAGAAATTCTCTTTTTCGTGAGTTGAATAGTGAGGTGATCCTTTAATCACATATTTTATCATATAGGACTCTGAATTTTCTGTGATTTTGATGCATCACCTTGTTAGCTTTTGTAAGCTTTTGAACTTCCATAAAAGAGTACACTTCAAAGAGTAATCTGTCACCGCTGATGCATAAGAGATACTGCTCAGACAGGTGTAATATATGGAAAGCTAAGCAGATCCAGGCTGTTTAGAGCTTTTACATCAAAAACGTTGCATTACTGTGTATAATTCTGAACCACGTAAAGCCAATTTATCATAGAGATTGCTAGTCTATTTTTTTGTGTTATTTCAATTATTTACTCTTTTCTCGTTGAGTCAAAACTTGTTTGCGTAAGACTTGTATTATGTGGAAATGACTATGTGAATTTTGGTCTACAATGGATTTAAGGATTAGGGGAGGTGGTGGGCTAAGCGATACTCTAACATGTGGCACAGTCCCCCAAGGACATGACACTGTCAGCACATTGCTTACACTCATCTGCACACATACACACACATATATACACAGAGAGGTATAATAGGGTATAATTTAGGGGGCTGTAATAGTGAGATGTGATGCTCGGTGGTAAGACAGCATGCCTAATTCCTCGGTTATGTTATCTCTGAGAGACAGATGTTCCCACCAAAGATTACTATGCACACACACACAAACTGTGAGCGTGCAGAGATGCACAAACCCATTCAATCCTCAGACAATAGCAGCAGTGGGAAGAGTCTAAAATAGCCATATTGACCAAAAACACAGATCAATGATGAAGATGACTTTTCCGAGAGTTATTTACGAGAGTTTCTCCAGAAAACTAATGAGGAAAAAAAAACCCCTCAAAGTTTTCCCTCAACAAATCTTACATTTAAGAGTCAAATAAATCATAACGGACATAACCTTGCGCCCCACTGAATATTTTAATGATCACACAAGTCCCACAAAGCTGTGGGGTTTGTGTGTCAATTCATCAGCAGGGTTTTCCAAGCCGTGCACACAGTTCATCTATTAGGAAACTGTTCTATAGGCGAAATGGTTTCACAACAGAGGACAAAGGTCACTTTATTCATGGCTTCTCACAGAAGCTGTCAGGGAAACCCTTTGGTTAGATAACCATCACTTGCATTACGTTGTTAATTCACAATTTGGATGCACAGCCACAGCGTTAAGAACATGATGGGGATGAGGGACGCACAGTTCCTGTCAATCCTAAAGTTAGTCGAGACGATTTTGTCCGATCGTCTTTGTCCTGCTTATCTGATTTTCTGTCGCCTCCTAGGCTCTTGCTTAGCATCCCAGAATATCCATGAGCCTCTCCAGCATCCCGAGTGCCCAAGACTCAAAAAGAGCCAAAACAGCAGCTTTGAAAGGGTGAACAAATTGCTTGTATACCCTAAACCAAATATGAGTGCTTAAGCATGACTTTAAGGGGACAGTTTACATAAATGAACATGTGAATGTGCGTGAATAAACAGTCAAACTACCTCTCAAACTCTTTTCTCCTCTGAGCTTTGATCCCCCTCCTCCTGCTTCCGTTTAACTGGTTTCAGCATTAAGTCTCCAGATTCTGATAATTTCCCCCGTAATCCCTTCAGAGGAGCACCCTGCTTAACTCTCTAATTAAGTCAACGACAAATTCCCCAGCACAGGACAAACAGCACACGTACACAGCTAGGAGTATCTAGCTATCTGATGCACGGACAACTGGTGGTTCCTGGGTTGGGGAGTTTATGTGTGTGTGTGAGAGAGAGAGAATGAGTGTTTGTGTGACTGTATTTCAATGATTAAGTCCCAATCAGGAGGTTGTTATGACAACACATGCATTTTTAAGCTGTTAATCCAGGATTATTCTCCCCTCCGCTCATCTCATTACCGTCGATTATTAAATAAAAAAAAAGAAGGAAAGAAAAAACCCACATACAGATGCACACAGACACACACCCTAATTATGGACTGGTTTCCCCGGAGATTGAACACATGGTGCAAAGGTCTCCAAAGACATTTTTGCACACAGGTAAAAAACAACGTACTGCACCTCAGACATTACCTATATACACAATACGTATTTCTAGATCATATTCATCACTAACGCATGAAGCGATCACACTTTATAGATAAAAAGGCAAGGCCATATATTAATAGAAGTATGATTATTACTATATTTTTGGCACGCTCAGAGACCAATTCTGGCCTTTCAGAGAGGAATTTCCAGCCAGAGCTGGAAAGAAAGCAAGCAAACAGTGAGTGTCCTTTACCGGTGATTGAATGTGTGTCCTTGTGTAGAATCTGCACACCCCTCTCTCAGCGAGAGAAAGTATTACTGCGGTGCTGAAGCTGATGCACAGGTGAGAGAATGGCCAAGGATTTTGAGATCACCTAAGGCTTTGTGCCGACTATGGCCCACTCACACTAGGTCAGCTCAGAATAACCAGAAAGGGCTGACCGCCAGTGCTCACTCGCCCCTGGAGTCATTAATCACACCGCACCACAAATGAGCCGCATGGACGGACACACACACACGCACAGAAAAAACACACACACAGTGGAGCTTGTTTTAATTATAAAAGGCAAATGCTAGATGACAGCATCGCTCCAGGTAGTCATTCCTCAAGGCCTGCACTGGTACATTACCATGTACCAAACATCACAGACATTGAATATTTCTGAGCAAAGCCCAGTCCACAAATAACAACACATCAGATCACATTAAGCTACGATAATCTGCTGCATATACAAATACACACACAGCATTGTATCTGTAACTTTTCTCCCGAGCTGTATTTTATGCTCCTTAAACACCAACCCGCACTATCAACTCACACTATCTGAACCCCCGCATTCCCAAACAGACCTCTCAGCTTGCAGTCGGGTCACTATCGGGATCGGAATCTCAGATAACGTTCCCATTTACCGGTTATGAAATTCTTCAAAGGGGCCGTGCAGCAGCGAAAGCCTGTGGTGTGTCATGTTTGTTAACAGGCATGGTGCATGGAGAAATACTCCGTGGAGGTTGTGCGTTGGTGAATGTATGTCGCATGGAGCAGTCCCTCCTGCTAAAGGCATCTAGGGAGAAAAACTCGACACGCACCAAAAATATATCAAAGCGCAAAAGTCACAGCTCATACACCTACATAGAGACACGCATTCTCTATGCTAAAAAATCAAATCAAACAGATGCTTAAAACTGAGGCAGCTAAGAGACGCCGACTGACTGCCTGCATGCTTGAAAGGCAACAAAAGGATAATACGGGGTTGCAGTGTGGAAAAACTCTATCCAAATTTTTCATACATTAGCTTTCAAACATGTCATCATCTAGTTAACTGCCATGTTGTGAATGTGTCACACTTTGGGTTTTTCTGCTGTTGATAAAACTGTTTGAGCGACATAATTATCTTGCCACACACATGCACGCACGCACACAGTCACCCACTCAGATTTCAAAGCACTCTCTTCACCTTGCTGCACTCGGCTCTAAAGAAAGTGAAAAGCTTCTGTCCGTTATTGAGGTACGACAAAACCTAACCCTGCCTGAGCATTTAAAAGCTAGTTTCTCCTTTCTGAAAGGGCTCAAGTCACTTTCAACAGTCAAGCTCAGAGAATTGCTTTCTGCATCAGGTAGTCAAATTCTCTTTTATGTCTTGTTGAATTAAATGAGCTCTAAAGCAGGAGAATGAAATTAAATGCACATAAACTTAACATAACAGAGCTGCATGTAAAGTTGGCATTTCGAGTAACTCTTACATGAGATGGCTCACTCTGCAGTTTCTCAGAGGGGAACGCTCCTGCTGTCGTACTGAGGAAGAGCTGAAGTAATTAACATGCTCCCTTTGTGTTGTTGTTTGTATGTGTCGTGTATGTTTGCTTGTAGAAACCGAGCGTGGGTGCGCATAAGAGGTAAAAAAGCCTTCAAAGGTGCTCAGCTTCTGCTGCTGCTGAGATGTAAAGCTTTAAAACTCATTTCTTAATAAACTTCTGTCAAGGAGATTAAGGGAAGCATTACTCAAGTACGGACTTATTTCAGTGAAAGCATTAAACAACTGGCTGAAAGAGATTGAGGAGACTGCTGCTTTTAATGCCGCTCTTTTGTGCATATCAGTGGATTTCAGATTTAATCGTTGATAAGCAGGTGGGAGAGGAAAACCATTTAAAAAAAGGCACCCTTTGAGATCTCATGAACTACAGACAGACATGATGGGAGAAAAGTGAAATCACAAAATACAAGCAGGGAGGTGCGGTCAGTGTTCCATGGGTGCTTCTGCATCCTCCTCTTCATCATCATCACTACAGGGTTCAAAATCTTCATCCAACGCTGGATCTGCATCCTCTCCCTCCACCTCTCCTCCCAGCTCGCCCAGAAGCTGCTCCACGTGCTCCAACATCGGCTGGTCGTCACATCGCAGCTTATTGTACAGCTGGCAGAGCGAAAAAGACAAAAAACAAAGAATGATGCAAGTGTATAATAGAGTAGTGGGTACACTGGAAAACATGAAAATGTTGAATAGAACGTAGGTTATAAAGCAGAGATCCAAACAGAAAGTGCAAAATTATACTGTAGAGGCAACTGAAGTAATGATATGGTGAGTGAAAGGCTCTCAGCAGAAGCTTGGTCACTACGACATCCATAAGCAGGAGATTCGAGTTGAGGGAAGTGAGCAGCCCTCAGGTTTTAAGTCTCTAAGTGCCGGTTAGGACATTTGAAATATCCAAAATCATCTGCATTCTGTCAGCACAGCAGCCCACAAAACGCTGGTAAACAGTTTTTGTCTTTATTTTGGCAAATCAGCACATTTGATGCACAATCCAGCCGAGGAGGCAGAAAGACCATTTATCTTCCTCTTTCAACATGCATGCACACACAGACACGGAGAAATGTATCCTGAATCGAAATGCATATGGTTGTGTTATAATCAAAGTTACCCCAGTGAAGCACGCTGTGAGAAAGCAAGATAGAAAAGTCCCGTTCTCTAAGCAGCTAGTAGATTTATCTCTGGTAAAATACTCTGCTTGTGTGTAATTGCTGAACTTAAAATGGAGCTGGGTGATAAAACTACTCGGGCTACCAATAAGGACAGCGAGCATAAGACTACGCTTCTGTGTGCAAATACATTACATAAACAAGGAAAAGAGGATGCAGCGATTCATATTTTTGCTGCTCTTTCCAGAAACAAAACTAGAGAGGGGGAAAAAGGCAGTTGGTGGGTTTATATAATCTAAGAATATAACTATTTTGTCTACCAAATGCAGTTAACAACCAAGCACAAAGTGTTTTATGCTCACGGACAATCAGCAGCTGAGTGCCATCATTCTTACTAAAAGTGTAACAAGGCCAGGAGAGTGAAGAAGAGTGTGTGTGACTGCTTTGCCCCAGGACCAGTCTCTAAGCAACAGCAGGTCCTGACAGGAGACATGCAGTCCCATGGGAACTCATTTGGAGCGTTAGAATGTGCAGAG